CCTCCCCCTCCCCCTGCCTCACCCTTGTGACCGTCCTGTGGCGCCTGCCCCAGCCGCCCCTGGAGAACTGGGCGTTCTTCGCGCCCTCGAAGAGCCACAGCAGGAACACCGTCACGACGAGGGACACGAGGAGCATCAACCACAGGCTGGCCTCGAACGGGGCGAACGCCTTCCAGAAGTTCACCTGAGCGATGCGCGGTGATGAGGTACGGGACGGGAGGAGGCTCAGCAGGTCGGATTGGATCTGATCGTGGGTGGGGGTTAGGGACGCAAGGACGAGGCCTACCGCCAGAGACGTCAAGCCAAGCAAATGAAAGGGGGCATCATGAAAATGGAAGGGGCACGCGCAAATGCAGCGAGTTTTAGAGAGAGAGGCGGACGGGGGCCCGTCCGCGGTTTCTGTCCCTTTGTCCCACCTCTCTCTCTGGCTGGCTGGCTGGCTGGCTGTTGTCTCTCTCCGCCCTCCCTCTCTCTTTTCTCTTTCTCTTGCTCAATGTCTCTCTCTCTCTGCCTCTGTCTCTATCTCTTTCTCTGTCAGTCTCTCTGTCACTTTCACTCTCCCCCCCCCTCCTCTCTCACTCCTTCGTCGATGGTGGGCAGGTAGACGAACGCGATGCCCAGGTCGAAGTACGGGTACGTGAAGGACACGTACTCCGCACGCTCCGACGTGATCGTGATCCAGCTCCCCGTCATGTCCGCCGACCCGTTCCTCACCATCTCGATGGTCTCTGGAGTTGTCGTGCCTTCGGGCGGTGCCCTAAGCGAGTACGTGAAGCCTACGACATCAGCAAGTTGCTGTTGTCGTTGCGAAAAACAAGCAACAAAAGCGGAAGACAGGGAGGAAAGGAAGAAGAGGTGCTTAAGCAAGACTTCGGGGATTGAGAATCAGGGGGGGGGGGCGGGGGGGGATGGCAACTTACCACGGTGTTGCGCCAGGGGGGGGCTCGCCCTTGACTCGCTCGCTGGAGGTGGGCAGGCGCTCATGGCTCTCGATCTATCAATGTTAAGTATCGATCTACACTTTCTTGGAAGTCGATCGGACAAAGAGAAGGATGACCTTCCCTTCATTAATTTTTTAAGTACGTGTTTTCGGGCGTCCCCCCCCTCCCCCCCCC